CAAATAGTTGGTTTATTGGTTTCCAATGGCTTGACAGATTGGATGATGCATTGGAGGCAGCTCAACGAGCATCCCGTCTTGATTCAAACAACCGGGAAGCAAACATGGTGGTGAGGAAGGCTCGAGCTGTTACGGTATCTCGATCAAAAGGCAATGAGCTTTTCAAGACAGCAAGATTCTCAGAGGCATGCGTTGCCTATGGGGAGGGACTTGAGCACGACCCTTATAATTCGGTGTTGTTATGCAACCGTGGTGCTTGTCGGTCAAAACTTGGTCAATTAGATAAAGCAATTGAGGACTGTACAGCTGCCCTTAATGTGCGCCCATCTTACAGCAAGGCTAGATTAAGAAGAGCACATTGCAACGCCAAGGTGACCATATGTGCTCGCTCATTAATACATACACATCTTTCAAACAACAAAAAAAGAAAAATTCAAGTTGCTTTTGGTTTCTCTTTGATTATGTTATTAGTGATAATTGGTATGTTTCAATGATGATGTATCATGCAGTTGGAAAAATGGCAAGCTTCAATACAAGACTACGAGATTTTGCTTAAGGAAACACCCGGGGACGAGGAGGTAAGCCGCGCTTTGTCTGAGGCCCGGCAACAGCTTAAGAAACTGTGAGGTAAGGCATAGCCAGAGAGACCTTAGAGATGGAGAATGGAAACAAGCCAATGCAGTATAATTAGGAGGCTGTTAGGAAAGAAGCTGCCCTTCCGCAATTATATGGCTCTTGGAGCTCAAGAGGAGAAACACATAAGTTCAAGTTGGAGAGGCAAAAGTAGATGATTTTTCAAAGAGGGGATTGAAGGTGGCAACTGATATAACGTAACACAAATACATGACCCACATTTTCCTTTTATGTATAGTTGTATTTGTGCAATTCTTTCTGGGAAATGTATTTGATACTGCTTATTAAAAAAATGTGAAAATATATTTGGAACAAATATTGAATTCTCTGTTTCTGTACATGTTTTTCGACCCTGTGCTAGATTTAGATTTGAGATTTAAGTGCTTCACTGTCGTACAATGGTTGTTCATCGGAGCTATAAATCCTATAATTTTCCTTCTTCGAAACGTTGAGCCTGAATGAACTTTGGGCAATTTCAAATGCCACATCTGGTGGCATACATGTACAATTCACCTGCGATGTAACCTTTTAAGCCCAATTAATTGATGATTATGAGGGCTTGGGAAGAATGGAAAGCATTATGCTTAAGGGGTCCAATGTTAACACTTTTCTGTTCTTATTTCTTGTGCTAAAGCTCAACCAAATGTGCAAGTGTGAATGGCAACAAACAAAGACGAGTAAGAGATAAAGAAACAAACCAACAAGAACACATAGATTTATACTTGTTCGGCTTTACGTCCAACTTAGAAATGACGAAGTATGGTTACGCTCCCAAAACACCAAAATTTCAAAACACCAAATACACCGAAGCTCACAAACTTTTGTTCATGATCACTCTGCTGTGCAGCATCCGGAGTAACCAAAGTACTATCTTTTTCTTAGTCTGATGGGTAGAAGAGCAGCTGTGTCTCTCTAACCCAAAATGGTGCAGCCAACATAAATCTCATGTGGAATGCCTTGCAGACATAACAGATCCATCATAGTACGTCTGAGCAATAATATACCAAACCACTTTCGCAGTAAGGATTTGGATAAATAGCCCCCATCGAGTTAATCATGACATCCTCTAACCACTGGCGGACCCAGAAATTTTTTAGCGGAGGTGCAATATTGACTAAGTATGAAAAATGGTTTTTCGGAATAATCATT